TGCAGGCCCGATTAACGAATCATAACAAATTTGTTGCCTCCCGGGAGGTTCTTTATTGCTTGAATGCTATTATTGATGCGTCTTACTTGAAAGGAACGAAGGATCAATGACTCAGCGACTCGATAGCTATTCTGGTTCGTTGTCCCCAAGTCTGCTAACTCGATCAAGAAGTCTGGGTAAGGTGTAGAAAGTGTATTCTGCAGACACACAGCAGATAACAAGTCAAGTCAAACACACAAATCAAGCGTATTTATACAAATATTTACAATCGATATTGTCATAGAAAATTCTTAAATACTAATCTATGAGTTCATAAATTGACCGCTATTTAACATCAATTAACATCAATTGATCTATTTGCACATCTAATCGATAGGTTCATCAACTGACTGCCATTCAAACATTTAATCGATAACTTGCTCGATAAGTTAAAGTTTAAAAATATGAGTTTGGGGATGTATCGTCCCCAACAGTTAATGTGAACATGAAAGAATGACGATCCTCTTTTCAATTAGTCAAATCTCGTTTTAATTTAATATAACGTATCACGATAATTTCCACTTGAAACATAATTTCATTCACCAACAAAATTAAACCTACTGAATAAATCGATGATCTATCAAGTAGCGACTGTTAAAACTATTTTTTTTAAATAATAGATAGATTAGGAATTTAGTATCACACTGGATTTAAGCAGATTGTTTATGAAACTAATCATAAGATTTTCGACTCCAGAAAGTAATAGAGTCGATATGAAAATGTTTGACTCTGCCAAAACAGAACTAAATAAAAAGGTTTATGGATTGAGTAGACAATGATGATGAAAGCATTGATGCCACCTAACAGATCCAGTCGATGTTTACTTTAGTAACTATATACTGTTTTCAAATCTGAAATAAATCACACACAATTATTGTTGCAACAGATTCCTCTTAATACTTGTCTTTCAAAAAATTATTATCTACTTTTCATAAAAATACTTACAACATAACAAGTATATACATTTGAACGTTTGAAATATTTTAAAATCTCCGTTATCAAAGTCCTATAGTGTTTTGAAAGTCAGTTTCCTTACTACGACGTGCTACACAGGATTCATTCTTTATCAAGTGTAGTTAAATATTAAGATTTGTCATACATTTAAAGCGCTTTCCATATTCATTATAGTCATCTATCGTGAAGATGGCTGAATCGCTCTTCAATAACACAAAATATTTAGTAATTGCTTGATTATTATAATGATTCTATACTTAAGAAAATATAACTTTATCATTGTGTGGTTTGAACTACTATATTTCTCATACCGACTTCATTCTTTTTGCGAAAGAAATTATTGTACTAACTTAGATTGAAAATGCGTATTCAAAGTTAATAAGTGTACATTTCTAATTATTCCAACATCCAAGGATTCCATCCAACTCGGAAACAATCCTGTAATTTTTTATTTATATTTACTCTAAACAACAACACTTGAAACTGTTGAAGTATGGGTTATTTAATAATAAAGTTGAATTTTAAGATTTGTATCGTATGAAGAAAAAATCATTCTGTCTGAGTCGTTTAAGTCATTTTAGTGCAATTTCAGATGAGTCCAATGCTACGTTGTCGGTATTCAAATGTTTTTTTAGAAGTTTGATAAATAATAATGGTAAACAAACAAATTGAGTATTAACTATAGACGAGCAGGGAACCATTTAAAATATATTACTGAATGCTGTTGTAATTGCAGTTCTTGAGCAGAGATGCCTCATTTTGTTTTAATCCATGTTCAGTTACACAAATTATAGATAATTCCATACAAATAGATTGTTATCGTGACTTTGTCATCATCATCACTAATTCTATTTTTCATAACAGGTTGGTTATATTATGTTTCATATTCGTACACCAAGTTTCAATGCACCTCAGTCAATTGCCAGTGCGTTATCAGTTCTTCATTTGGTAAGTAAAAATTTAACCCCCTATAAATGTATAGTCTCTAAGGATAACATCAAGACAAGTCTATTTTTAAATTTTTTCCATTCAATTAGTTTTATTTTATGAAGTATTATATTAGTTTATTGATCGCTATAAGAGATATTTCAAGAATGATATAAAAATCCACAAGTATACCTAAGAAATTCAGCACTTGAATAGATTCATTAGATTACTTTAGATTATATTTTCATGTTATTTTCCATAATAAAAATTCCAGGTTTTAATTCCTAATTTTTGAGTCTCAAAGTAATTATTTCATTATGTCCTCGTATTCCTGAAATTTTACAAAAACAATGTTATATACATGTGTGTAATATACTTATTACACATCCAGTCAACAAAGAGCTTTATCACCATATAGTTTTCTAGACATGCATTCATAACATTATGTCTAAAACACGGTATTTCATTTCATCAACAACGTTAAAGCTAATTCATATTTATTAACTTACAAAAGTCTTTAATATAAATTAGTGGAAGGAATTTTGAATGTGAGTGTAAATTACAAACCTTAGGTTGTGAATTATTATAGAATCCTGAAAATAGAAAACAACAAAGTTTAAGATTAGTAATGCAGCAATTGAAAACTATGAAGCAACAAACAGTTGTTTCATCTTCGTTTGAACCTACTCAGTATGCAATATTCAAAACCCTCCAGAGATTGAGATTATGAGCTTTTGGCCTTGGTATGAAGCGTAACAATCAGTGGTAATTGACGACTAACAATATAGTTGAACCTTACCAATAACCAATTTTCGTTTAGTGTTTTATATTTTACTAATATGATCACAATTAATTCTTATTAAAGGTCGATACCTCAATGAAACATCTGTAGCCTTAGATCTGACGATTTCAGAAATGTGTTGAGAGACTTACTCATTTCTTGAAGTTGAAGCAAAGATTCTGATTTCCTATGATGAACATGTCATCATTCTAACTATTAAAACTCTTTTCATAATCTATTTATATCGAACCTAAAAACTTTTCAACATCGAAGTACCTTCCGGATTTCCCTAAATACTAAGAAATAACTTAATAGAGATCGCTACTAGTAATGAAGAGTCAACTATAATTTGCAATCACTAACCTGGTATTTTTACTGATTCTTCAGGTTATTCCATACGTTAAAAATATCTACTTTAAGGATTTGAAACAGACAATGAGAAGAGAACAAATCGATGTAAGTTCTTTGTAAAGTGTGGATAGAGCGGATACTTGTTTAAATACTTTTTGCCATGTTATTGATCATTCACTTATATTTAACTTTGCTAAATGAATAAATGCCACCACAGGTGATAACAGACACCACAAAAAACAAAATATAAATACTGTAAATGTTTACAGAGAAAATGGAACGTAAATGTTTCATTGAATGTATTGAAGAAAATTTCCGCTAAACCTTTGATCCTGCAATGATTTTTTGTATCCAGGAAATCATTAGACTGTTATCCTTTATTTCGATTCAAGATTATTTCAAATAATGATTAGCTCTTTATATTTATCCGCATATCATCCGAGTATTTTCTGAAACGTGAAAATATGCAATCAACGTTTAGGTATGGAAAGTCAACTTTTGATCAAGCAAACGATTTTATCTCCAAAATGAAAATATTATTCAACCATAAATAGATTTTCTGTACTTTGTAAATTTCAAGTTATGACAATTAAAAGTATACGGTTCAATCGTTTTAATTATTGAATTTGCAAGTCCACTTGCATCGATCATTTTCATTTAGGCTTGAGTTCATTTTGATAAATTTTTAATGGTCTAAACAATTTATTATAGAGAAGAAATTCCAATTCATATTCATTGAGCTTATCTACAAAAGTAAAGAAAACGTTTGTTGCAAATTTCGGGATTGACTTCTATAATAAATAGTCTTGATCGCTGTCTCAACTGCAAACTCAGAAAAAAAACATTGCTTGTAATGCTTCACGGCTTCAAATAGTTAAAACTAATTATAAACTATTTAATGACATCAATTACAACATAATATATAGGTGACTTATAAAATCAGATTACTATCAAATCATTGTGGTGGCATTGGTAATACCGATCAGTTACACAAACAGATGAGAAACTTAGGGAATAAGCGATGAAACGGTCATCAACATTGTCATATGTTTACAAGCCATGTGTGACAATGCTCAATGACTTGTTTATTGATTTAACATATTCTTTTTCCATTAAAGTCACGATATACTCAGCGTAATAATTGTTTATTGATCCGAAATAGTTTAAGGTGCTTGGATGTCGTTTTATTACAGGTAAAACTAACCTAGTGAATAGTTTCTATTTCAATAATTTTTGATACTGTATGTTGGCGGTATTAATATAGGGTTTGAATCATTGTATTAACCGATCATCTAATAGATTGTACAGAAATACAGTTGAACAGAATCCCAAATTTACTCTATCAATGGGATAGTTAGTCTTGCTACTTTTTTTCTGATCATTGATTAAGACTCAATGAGAATATGTTTCTATTCTCCTCACTCAAATGGAGGTTAACCTGAAAATTTGAATCATGGTACCAAAACATTATACCATGAGATGGCATCATTTGTACTGAGGGTTTCATTGTATTTTGTGGCCTCTGACTAAACGCTTGGAAGCAATATGTATCACTAATGACCATACAAGTGTATAACATAGTATAAAATAGGGTAGAATGGTTTGACTGAATATTTAAGCCAATGTAAATAAATATAGGAAATGTATCTTTAGCTTCATGAATAATTAAAAAATGAAAGCTTATCGAGAGAAAAACGAAACAATTTTTACTTAAATAGAAACGGTTCGTAAAATGTTTTCATTTCTGTCGGTAATTAACCAAACAATAAACCATCTCAACCAATATACATAGATGTTTATATCCAATTCTTATCCTTTTTTTTCTAGTCTACACTTCTACTAACAGCTAACTTACCTTGTGCTAAACAATTCAACGTGTTTGATAATAGTATTGGTGTCGCTCAATTAGTTCGTTTACAAGATGAAAACAAGGTGAGGAACGATCAGCAAACGAAAAAAAATATGTATTGGCGTATTGGGAACAGTGGAAAGAGATCAATTTTATTTCCTACAGAAATATACATACAATGACAAAAAGCGATATACGAATTCGCTTACTAGGCCATTATGTCACCGACGTATTCTAACAGTTTCAGGTGTATCAGGGTTTGAACTTATCATTCTTTGATTAACAATCCAGTATATAAACCAACGAACCACCGATTTCTTATTTCAGAAACCCAAATATAAAATCAGTTCAAGATTTATAACATTTTTTTCTATAATCTGACGGCATTTTATCTCTTATCTAATAGAAAATCACTTATCGGGTTATAAAAGGTTACCCTCTTATTATATGGTAACTGACTTTTTATCTCACACCAATCATCACTTAAGATGTTTTAATCTCAATAATAATCAAATAATAACCTTTATCATTCACCCTGTTGTTTAGTCTAACTTTCAGTAAACAGTTTTTATAATTTTCAGGGACTATTAGAAGATAAGTTGAAATAGTCGTAATTGTATCACATAAACGTTTCACTACTGTCTACAAGTAATTGAGGTTTGTAATGACGATTGGTTCCAGGAAATATATATCTCAACAGAATACCTAAATTAGTCTCGTAGATGTAGACTTACGGATCAACTTGTAAAAAACCTGTTTTCTTGACTCAATCTAATGTCTATGCTTCGAATATTCATGATAGTATAGATGTTTTGAAATATGATTAATTTGGCGTTTGATAATTATTTGGTAAAACGTATGTTCATGAATACTTTAACAGTGTCTTCGGATTATGCATTTTATTTATTTGTCACAAATACTTCATAAACACAATTTTCAACCCTTTTATTTAATGGACATCAACAGTTTACACAAGACAATGATCTTGTAATTTTTTTGATTTTCAGAACATATTAATTAACGTGATATATTTCCTCTATTCTAGTTAAAATTAATAAGAAGCATGTTTATTTCACAAGTGAACGAAGTTTTCGTGTTATTTTAAATATTAACTAAGTCCAACTCAGGTTGTTTCTGAACTACAATAATCAGCACATCCGACTAACAGAGTTTATCTATGAAGATCATCATTGTTAACCTGTTTCATACAAATGTTCTTTAAAAAATTTTAGGACTATCAGTTTGAAGACATTCTGAAAGATGTTCTGTCGGCAAGTGACATACTCGAAGATGAAAGAAGTTCTTACTACCTTTGTGACGAACGTTCTAGTAAGCACAAAAGTTTTAGACCGTTTCATAAATATCTATATTTGTATATTTCATTTTAAAAGGGGTTTAGAATCATATTTGTTTACTTGACTATCACCAACCACCTAATATTTGGCAATTGCCTAATCGTCAAGTTCAATTGGAAAGTTGCTTGTTACAAAAAATCACACAACTTCACTATATTGTACGCCTGTATTTCTATATTATTTGATTATCTTATTATGATTCTGTTGATAACGGTATTATCATATGCAGCAACTCAGAAACTTTTAACGCTCAATTTGTAAACACACAGAATAAACATTTGAGTCAAGATAGTTCACAGTTTGTCTTAAAAGAATTTATTTTATAATTAGCAGTAGTCATCGTAAGTATGAATCTGCATACAGTATACATTATGTACGTCTACAAATAGAGAAAGCAACAATGTAAGTCACTGACTAGGGCCAAATAAGCCCGAAATATATATCAAGAAGCTCTTCACTATGTATTGAAGTAATCCCACACTAAATGTAAAGCCATAGCATCGATATGGTATTTATTATTACAGTTAAAGGGCGAGACTATATTTTATGGACGAACCAACCAGATTTAAAATAGTGAGTATTGGATCTGATGTCAGTTCGTGATCAAAACCTTTACTCCAGTATCAAACTCTAACTTCTAGCATTAAATCCCGATTCTGAATTCTAAAATTAATTTGTAACCCTCATTAAATGCTGGTAGGTAGGTAAATCTTCTCAAGGTCACACTAGTGTCTCTCAGAAGTCGTCCATAAATTATAGTCTCATCATATATATTACTTGAATAAGAAGTATGTTTGGCTTCACCTGAAAATTTCAATGATTCGAATCAAGTCGATTAATGATTTGATGAAGATTAGTAAAATAAGAAGTGGTGTATAGATGAGGTAGTTGTACACCTGGTGAGTATGGAAAAGAGAAAAAGATTGGATATTATGATAACAGTTTACTGATAATTCTGAAAAAAAAGAATTAATAACTCACTTACGCCTGTTACTCCCAATGGAGCATAGGCCGCCGACCAGCATTCTCCAACCCACTCTGTCCATGGGCCTCCTTTTCTAGTTCCATCCAATTCTTGTTCATGTTTCTCATGTCTATTTCCGTTTCTCGGCGTAATGTGTTCTTTCGTCTTCCTCTTTTCCTTTGGCCTTGAGGATTCCATGTGAGGGCTTGTCTTGTGACGCAGTTGGGTGCTTTCCTCAATGTGTGTCCTATCCACTTCCAGCGCTTCTTCCTGATTTCTTCCTCCGCTGGGATCTGGTTTGTTCTCTCCCACAGTACGTTGTTGCTAATAGTGTCCGGCCAACGGATCTGAAGTATTTTGCGTAGACAACTGTTAATAAACACCTGTATCTTCTGGATGATGGCTTTCGTAGTTCTCCAGGTTTCCGCCCCATACAGTAGAACTGTCTTGACATTTGTATTGAAAATTCTGACCTTGGTGTTGGTTGACAGTTGCTTTGAGTTCCAGATGTTCCTCAGTTGTAAATATGCTGCTCTTGCTTTGCCGATCCGCGCCTTCACATCTGCATCAGATCCACCCTGTTCATCAATAATGCTGCCCAAATATGTAAAGGTTTTTACATCTTCCAAATCTTCTCCGTCAATTGTGATTGGATCGGTGCATGCTGTGTTGTATCGGAGAACCTTGCTCTTCCCTTTGTGTATATTGAGACCTACTGCTGCTGAGGCTGCTGCTACACTGGTCGTCTTCTCCTGCATTTGTTGTTGCGTTTGGGATAGAAGGGCCAGATCATCTGCGAAGTTCAGATCGTCCAACTGCATCCTAGATGTCCATTGTATCCCGTGCTTCCCTTCAGATGTTGATGTCTTCATGATCCAGTTGATCACCAGGAGAAAGAGAAAGTGTGAGAGTGAGCAACCTTGCCTAACACCGGTCTTCACTTCGAACGACTTTGTCAACTGTCCTTCATGCACGATTTTGCAGCGTAATCCATCATAGGAATTCCGTATGATATTGACTATCTTCTGAGGCACGCCGTAGTGTCGAAGAAGCTTCCATAGTGTTGTCCTGTCCACGCTATCAAATGCCTTTTCGTAGTCAATGAAGTTGATGTAGAGTGATGAATTCCATTCAATTGATTGTTCCACAATGATCCGTCGAGTTGCGATTTGGTTTGTACACGATCTATCCTTACGGAATCCTGCCTGTTGGTCACGAAGTTGGGCATCTACGCAGTCCTTCATCCTGTTTAACATTACTCTGTTGAAGACTTTTCCCGGTATTTAAAGAAGAGTGATGCCCCTGTAGTTATCACAGTTGCTGAGATCGCCTTTCTTCGGTATTTTGACCAGAAGTCCTTCTTTCCAGTCTTTTGGTACTTGTTCCTCATCCCAAATCTTATTAAAGAGAATGTGGAGTATCCTTGCAGTTGCCGCTACGTCTGCTTTTAGTGCCTCTGCTGGAATGTTGTCCGGTCCTGCCGCTTTGCCACTCTTGATTTGTCTGATGGCCATGCTGATTTCTTCAATTGTTGGTGGGCCAACGTTGATTGGGAGGTCCGTGGGTGCTGCTTCGATGTTGGGTGGGTTCAGTGGAGCTGGTCGATTCAAGAGTTCTTTGAAGTGTTCTACCCACCTGTTTTGTTGCTCTTCAATGTTGGTGATTACCTCGCCTTCCTTGCTTTTCACTGGTCGTTCTGGTTTGCGGCGATTTCCAGGGAGTTTATTTGTTATGTCATACAGTTGTCTCATGTTTCCTTCTCTTGCAGCCTTTTCCGCCGTCTTTGCTAGATCTTCCACGTATTTACGTTTGTCAGTTCTGATGCTCTTCTTCACTTGTTTGTTTACTACTGTGTATTCATTTTTCGACGATTGACTGCGGCCTATTGTAGAATTGATCTTTAGCGTCTTCATTGTAGTCGTTAGTAGGCGCATAGCATTGGATGATATTCATTGTAATGCCCTCCTTTTTTGTTTTGAACGAGGCTTTGATGATCCTTGGTCCATGAGATTCCCATCCTATAAGCACATTTTGCGCTTGTTTGGACAGTATCAATGCAACTCCTTGTGTATGTGGGGCATTTTCTTCTTCATGGCCTGAGTATAACGGAAGCTCTCCTGAAAATATTCGTTGTTGTCCAACTTGCGTCCAATGTGTTTCATCGATCCCAAGTACCTCTAGGTTGTATCTTCTCATTTCTGCAGCAATTTGGAAAGCTCTCCCGGTGTCCCACATTGTACGAACATTCCATGTACCTAAATAAATGGTCGCTCTGGTTGCCAGAAGGGGCATCGGCCTCGTAACTTCCGAAGGGATTCGGCTTTCATCATGAGGCGTCATAGTTCTTCTAAATGAAGACCTTCTGACTCCCAGGGCAGAGGTTAAAAGGTTTGAATAATTCTTTCTGGTTAGCGTTTTTTTAGCGAGTTAGTTTTCTAAGGGATAGGGACGCTAACCCCATGCCCAACCCTTCTCCTTTATCCGGGCTTGGGACCGGCAGTAGCCCCCGGAGAGACTCCAGGCGGAGTTAGAATTAATAACAACTGACTATTAAGTATTTAAAATACCAAGGTAACTAAAGGTTGTGGTAGAACGAGAGATTGGAATAATCCTTTTGTCTACAAAACACAGGTTTGAATCGGTGAATGGTTAAAACCTATTCAGTGCATGAGTTTATCATTCAATTTTTTAAAAGTATGTATGGTCGTAAAAGCGTGACTCAAATTTACAAGATATTCCTGATTTGAGTCACTGATTGATTCTCTTACTTTTTTTGACAGCAAGGAAAATTAGTGCTAGGAGACACTTCAAAATATTACACTTTGTGTTGCCAATGTAGCTCGCTTAACAACGGAAAGTAAAATTGTAAATCTAAACTATTGTGGCCCAAGGCAGATGCTTGTTGATAGCTCATTTATGAACCAGTATGTATATTGATTAACCAAATGCGTTTCATATATTAAGGGACATTGTTCATTTGAGCATAAAACGTAGGAGTACGTGATTTACAGGTGGAGTGGTTATATAGTATGATTGATGTTATAACCAGTTAAGCCAAATTTTGCAAGCTTGCAAAATTTTAAGCTGGAGTAGTAGGCGTAAACTGGGAAATAAACGGGCTATCAGATATTTGACCGCTATGGTAATTATTTGAATAAAAACATTATTGTAACAGATAAGCGACCATTGATCTGTCAGGTCGGTAAATAAATGTTACGTCAGTGAGGAACTTCCTTAATTCATTCTCGATAGTATAAAAACTACGAACTCATATGGTGCAAATGGCAAGGATACTGGTAAATATCACAACTTAGGAAACATAAGACAATTTCCTGATAGTAATCTTTATTTGAATTTGTGCTATTGCTTTTTAAATGGTTTTGTATATGTTTTGATTGACTGCATTTTAACCATGTTGCAGATATTATACGAAACTCTTCCCACTACATTCGTGATTTCTATTCATTCAAACGTAATCATACTCCTAAATTACGCTTGCGTCAATATGATAAGAAACACGGCATGTATCTACTGCAACAAAATGCTCTCAGTCTGAAATTTCAAGAAATTGGTAAAGTATCATTTACACTGTCAGTACTTCGATGTACGCCAACTGCACAGGTATGTAGATAGAACAGCAGTATTTCCAATATGACATGAACTCTAACGTGTATAATAATTCATTTTACTGTTTTCTTTTACATTTTTCAGAATATGATCATGAAATGTTTCAAAATCAGAGGTGTATATGAATTTGTCAGTGGTTTTTGTATTTATTGATTAGGAAAAGAAACTTATTCAAAATATTTGCCATTGATAATCACAAAATATAGAATGCCAACAAATTTGTAATTCTGTAGTTACTCATTTGGCCACCAAGTAATGCTTCTACATAAGAAGTGGTTGGTGATATAATTAGGTTTACAATAGGAACATTAACATTGATTAGAATTCCCATGTGGCTGCAATCGATCAAATCAGATGAGAGAGTATCAACTGTCTTTACTCCCACTTCTAGCCACTACCAAACTAGCTAGTGCCAATTCAGCAACAATCAAATCCATTTAAGTTGATCTTCAATTCAGTCATTAACTTAGTTACAAATATAGATATGAGAGATATATAAGTTGTCTTATTAATACTGCAAATTTATCCAGAATAACCGACAGACATTCACTACTGACGTATGGGCAAGAAATATAATTTTAGACTGGGCAAAGAAAAGTAATCATCATCACTACATTATTATGAATTGCCATGTCATATTCGAACTATTCGAATCACGAATACCAGCAAACAGATATTTTACATGAAGTTGAATTCAGTTATATCTAAGGTGATTCATCAGAGAAAGACATTATTTGTCGTTTAATTTAAATAACCTACACTAAAGCACTTAGTTAAGAAATATCTTGTAAACAACCTATTTATACAATAAAGCAAACGATTTTGTGATTACTGCCATAAAATGTCGCGTGTTTTATTCATTGACTGCAAATTCAGCTTGATCTTTTATGTCTCTTACATTAGCGTATATTTTGGAAAGAAAATTTCCAATGTATCGTAATGTCCAACAAATACCTAAGTTGGTTTTTATGGTATCATGATTTAAATGAGTTAAATATAAAGAAACAAACTCACCAATAATATTTGAAAATGTTAACAAAGCACTGTGAATATTATTATCGGATCTCTAGAAACAATCCTTGAAAAGCTATATTTTTTGGTATATTATTTTGTGTTGTACGTTATCTGTCCTTGTCTCAATTTTAACCATGAAATGTTGAAGATTTGACTTGATTCTTTTTTCTCCACCTCTCATAATTTAGATTCCCAATCACGTTTTTTTCTTACATGAAGAGTTAACTAAACTACCATCATTTCCACGTAAAGCATTAGAATCCGACTTCAACCTTTACGACTGGCCTACATATGGGCGTCCACTATTTGCATTAGATACAGTACACAAGTTATCTTGGTGTCATTTAATATCTAGTTTATTCATGATGATGCCTAAAACTTATCCATGGTCATCGGATTTACAAATATTTTTGAATGTATACAATGGTACACTGATATTACATGCAGAAGACTCATCAGTTTTACGACAGTGTCTAGCATTCTTCATACAGGTCAGTTTAAAATAAATAACAAATCTTATTCGTGAATAAATATTTCATTGTCAGTGAACTTCTATTTCAAGAGAAGATATAGTCAAGCAAATTAAGTTTCATTCGTCTGTCCAGTTGCACAAGCATAGAACATTACCAAATGTTCTCTTCAGTATCCAATTTAGTCTAATTAAATAGTCCCATAGCAAACATCTGCCTCAATATTAGATATCAAAGTCTTGTGTTGAATGTAAAAGGCTTTAAGTTTCACTTTAGGAATTAATTTCAACCATCAAAACCCATTGAGCTCTTGATAACTTCACCTAATTATAGGACCTCAGTAGCCAGTTTTAACTTATTACAATCAGATTAAAATCAGACAGTGGTGAAAATGCACTACAGTTTACAAATATGACTGAAGATCATGGGTTAATCAGCAGCAACGAAACTCCTCTTACTGATCAAAGGATATACATGTGTGCATGAGGAAAAAGAAGGATATAGGCAAAAGTGTTGCTGAACTTCCAAGTCCTCAGTGGCTCTCTGTAAAGGCTTTACAATAATATATGTGCGTAATTTTAGCCTATGTGAGGATGACACAGCCTAAAAGAAATATTCCACATTCCAAATAATAAAATATATTATTCGCTGAAAGAAATGTGAAGTGATACACCTGTCTAGTGCTGTCTGGTTTGCGATGAGCATCTAACTAAGGTCAGTCCGTGCAATGTGAAAATTCAAATCAAATACTCTCTACAACAAGATATAACAAGAAATCCTTTATGGTTATAAATTTCGTTGACATCTTCAGGAAAATCAGTGTTGTGATATTATTACTCCATAACTGCCGTTGAAGATAGAGAATTTCGGATGACACTGTCAAAACCATCTCCAGTTTTTCGTCACGGAAACTAAACATTAGAAAATAACGAGGGGTTTTTTCATAGCAAAATGACCGATCAACTGGAAATTTATTTCAATAATTAACACTGGCTTTCTCAAATTTACAACGCAGAATAATTTCAACCTAACTCTTTGACTTTGTTTATCGTCTAAGGAACTAACTAGACACACTTGAATTTAGTGTTATTACGCCGTCTATTATTGGTTTGGATTGCCTGCAGAGATTAATTTTTTGCTCAAAAATAAGGGTGTACTGTATCAGTTACTAATAAATAGTCATTTTTAAAAATACTTGTAATTCCACCCAAACTTATTTCAAACAAAGTTATGCTGCTCAGCCAAAGCGCAATATTGTAATTTAATGAAATTCTTTTTGGCCAACCATCAAGATCCATACTCCATTGACAATCCTTACTAGATAATTATGATGATAATAATTCTCATATTAAATACAAAGTTATTTTGGAAATGGACTATATGTTATCTTCAGGTCAATTGCCATCAACAGTTTCAATTCTTACCAATCTATTTATATTGTTAGTAGAGTGATGATTGGTTATCACCATATTTTACAAATCGTCTCAAAATACTCTTTCCTAAAAGGTATTCGTTACTCTTACTCTACTACAATTTCTCTCTTTTGCTCAACAAATCTGTAATGACTTTATAGACTATATTTCGTTCATAACAATGTATAACTTATTTTATTTTATTAGTGCTGTTATCAATTCAAAACAGTGTTTGCAACCACAGGCTACTCTGGTATTGTACCGACATTGGTACGTGTTTATAACCAAAATACACATAATCCAGTACTTACACAAGCTATTGAATTTACATTTAGACAATTTTATGTAATGCACAGAACACCATTTATATTACAACTGCTAGGATGCATCGCCAATTATGTGACGACTAATAATGAAATAATTGGTGTGGGAGATGAATTTTACCGAGTGAGTATATAGTGTTTCTTTTAACACTATTTTCCACTATTGTGCTTTCATCACAATAATGCTACACAAGATAAGAATTTTTGTGATTATTCTATAGTAATGTATAAAGACTTCTAATTGGTATTCACCAAAATATATCGACCATTATTTATTTTTATGTTACTTGAACGAATACCATTTATCTCACATCAAATTAAGGTATATTGATGAAACCTTGTGAAAATTCATTCATCTATATGATCAGAATAAACTCATGATATTGCTAGAATTTAATAATTACAATAGTCTGATATGACTATTCACTCATGGCATGTTTATTTCAGATCATGTACATATACAATAAAATTATATCTGTCAGAATCCGATATTCCTAATCACTTTCAAGTAAAGATTGAATATTCATCTTAAATATCATATGCAATGATCGATACTATATTCTTCATTGGTCGGTTCACCATAACAGACAAGTAAAATTGGACTAATAGCATATCGATCATATGAATTTATCTGAATTAGTCAAAAAGCATTTGTCTAATAAAACTGCTAATAGAAACTTGTCAGTGTGCTGAACGTTATTACTTGTTACACGAGCCTCTACGAAAAAAACATTTATGTTGAGAAAGATTGTCAATCCAGTGTTGGGGAATTTATTGACTCTTATTATTGAGAATCTTTATAATTTAAATTTGATATTCTGTTTTCGTTTATATCAAAATGTATTTTATTATTAGTGAATTTCTTCACTTTAGTTACCAAAATAGGAAATTGTCTATGTCTCCCCGGTTCTTTGTGCTTTGTATAATAATGTGTGTTTGAAAACGAAACCTCTCTTCAGTTAATCTGTATCACAGAAAGATTGTTGTAACAAAATTTGACCTTCCGGTCAGTAGTTTACCTGTTCCTTTCTACATACTTAGTGAAACATAAAAATTGTTTCCTATGGTTGGTGCATATTAAGTTAATCAATATCGAGAATCTTTACGGTCGCTTAGATGAGGAGATTAAATTAAGTAACCTACTATGTAGAAAATTGATAAACATTGACTATATATTATTTTTTTGGGGAATTATTTCATTTTACCACAGATTCAACCGGGGGCTGTATACAGATTATTACGTGTTATAAGCCGTCCTTTAGATGATAACCTTCGTATTTTGGAGTTATGTAATATTCAGAAGCCGTTGGAAGCTTTGGTAAGTTTGTTTTTCATACTAACATCATGAACATTTTCGACATATCTCTTTTAATCTACCCTCTAAATTCTTTCACAACCAATATGCCTTTAAATTCTAATTGATTGAAAAACTAAAAACTGTAAAATAAGTGATGGATTTTTAATTGCAAATTAATAACTCGAACGCAATCAACGGATATTATTATTTAAAAATCCTGTGTTCCTACTGTTAATATAGGAACGTCCCTTTAATATATCACTTAAACTCTCTACAATAGCTTTTGCTTTTATTTGTTCTAAATTCACGTTAACTTGCCTTATTAAGACCACTTTTGTTGAATTATTTTAATTTCAACTCAATCAACTGACATTTGAATTGTTTACATAAAGATTATGAACATTTTTATTGTAATCATAACGTATACAGAATAGTTAATTAGATCTTTTTCACATAAATGAAAAATTGTTAGTTGTATAGAGTAATAGCATTGAACAAGTTGTGTTATTATCAAATTTGCATACTCCAATAATTTTCTTGCCTAAAATCAACGTTACTTATTATGACAATGACGCAAAAAATTAAAGACTACAAGCTACAGAAAAAATATAATAGCATCAATGTTATATATATATAAAGCGATTCAGACTGAATACGTTTCTGTTTTTCAAGGATAAACCTAAATACTGTCTGCCTACATTTCACGTATTTTGCAAACAATGAATCGGATTCTGTAATCACTCAGGGCAAATATATCTAGAGCCGTAGATGTACACTGAAAAATCTTGCAATATTTTCCTGTTCATTTAATCACTGTAGATAAGACAAACTGATATGGAAGTTGTAATTCTATTAAATCTATAGGTATATACAACTCATTATTTCATAGAAACTAGAATGGCTGAAACTACATAGGCCTTTGAATAAATGATGCTTAGTTTCACTTTCTGTGTACCATAAAAAGTCATACTTTTTAGTCAATGAATAATAATTTGTTTAACTTTTATATGTAACTAACAGTTAGTTGAAATTGTGAATAATCATGAGTTTCAAAGTGTTTCTGATTGATTTATAAAAAAAGTGTTTAGTTTTACAATTAATCCGTTTGCAAGAGTCAACTTTAGAAATTTAAATTGACCGATATTTCTGAAGTGGTTAAGTTTGTAAAGGGACATTTATTCATTAGACGTTTCAAACGATCTTTTCACAGGATTTTTGTTATGACGATGAAGAGGCTAACTGGTCTATTTTGGAAGTAATCAATCTCTGTGTAGCTGTCATAGTCTATGCTCCTGATTCATATAGATCCAGGCAAATGTTGGTAAGTAATTAGATGTTTTCGTATATGTGATTGTTTGTTTGGAAGGGAATGCTTCAGGATCTGCAGTGAAGATAAAATAATTAAAAGTGAAAATATTCGACGTTAATTATGAAATCAGCAATTGCTGTTCTATTTCTAGTAATATGTGATCACACTTACGTTATGCTACAATTACAAAATAATTATTGAACAGCAGCGATAGTCGTATTTATTGAGAATACGATTTATCAGACAACGTTTTGTTTAACTGCTAAACATTTTAGTTAATGAAATTTTATCGTGACATTTAGTGCAATATTTATATCTCAGCACCACATGACACTATCATTAAACGTAAAACGAAGCTAATTACAACCAAACAATTTTTAACTTGAACGTTGGGAAAAAAAGCAGGTTGGTGCCTACCATTTGGTCGGATATTTCTTGGAACTTTTGTTTAAATTTAAAACCACATCAACAGAAGTATAATTAAAACAAGAAATGTGACTTGGAAGCCTACAACTAATTTCATTTTATTCACTTAGCTTCACATTGATCACACATATATAAAAAAGAATCTTTTCAGCAAATGAATTATAATAATTCATATATAACTCTTTTAAATTCAGATTATTCTCCAGGCTCTGATGCCACTAATTCTTAAAGATTTGCCATACATATGTGCAGAAGAAGGCAATGGTACTGATCCAAAAAAGGCAGAGTTAACAGCTATTCAGAAAATTTCAATAGCAATGCGTCAGCTTACTTCAACAGCCGAGTTCATGAGCAGGTGTGTTAGTTCCATGAAACTGTAATTATTTAACATTTGCCATTATTATGATGAAAAATATGAAAGATTTCATTAGATTTATTTGTCAATACATCCAATACCCTAGTAAAGTTCCGAATTCATGTGTTAAACATCGTTAAAACTATCGCACTGATGACTTACTTGAGTTTAGTCCTAATTTAAAATACAATATTTCTCAGTGCAATACAATAGTTAGAGATTTTCCTCTTCACATGATTAGACACAAACACGATAAGAACTGTATCTCCAAATTAGTGAATTGTTTTCAGGGGACGGTGGTGTATTTGAGTTTTTGAAAAAGTTTCTGCGGATGCGAATTTTTTTATAATATGACCGATTAGATTACTTGTAGAATGATTGATCTTTAATAGGCTCACCCATATTTCACCTGCAATTTATTTGAAGTATGTTTTTAAGCCAGTTCTTTTAAGCAATTGTGCACTCAAATTATTCGCTCCTTGTCTCTGAATTACGTACTAATGTCAAGCAATCTTACAACATTAGTTTATAGATTACTGGCGAGATATGGGCTCAGTTTTATCACGAAAACTTTATTTTGGCTGTTTTCAACTAGGACGTGTCTACTAAATAAGTTATCTAGCTCCAGGAAATATAGTGTCAATGGAAAGTAGTTGTATGATCAACAGCTTTAAAAACTTATCGTCAGTGTTGTTGTGGCTTTATTAGTAATATATTTGATTGACAAACCTTAGTACTAGTAGTTATACAAAAATTTTCATACATACGATTGTACAGCCTGATAATAAATTCATTGAAAAGAGATTCCTTCGCTGAACTTCGTGTTTTTAAACCTTAGTAAGCCTAAGCTTGTGATGTTGATCACTAATTGTAACCTCCCCCGCATCTTTCAAGTTGATTGATTTTGTTACTTCAGTAGGTTTTTGACGTTTAGAAATCTGTACAGCGTGGAATATGGTGAGGCCCTCTTTGGTTATTAAGTTCCCACTCAAAAACCATGTTGCCTAGGATAAACTTAAGAAGATTTTCACTAAACCTCAACTTTACATTCTAAATTATTTACTGATATCATCATATATTTTACCATTTAGAAGAATTGAAGACATTCGTCAACTGAATTACCTTGCTCCAGGTGGTCCAACTGAATGTCGTAAGGAAACACCTGGTCTCTTGTTGACTGGAGTAGCCACCAGGCTAGTAAATTATGAAGCTGCAAAGAGTAACTTCAAGTCATCAGATAAAACGAAATATAACGAAACAGCTGAGAAAACAGCAAGAAGTGAATTATGTAGTGAAATCAACACTTTGTCTGTAAATAAAGGTTTCCCTCTATCAGTAAGTTCAAATGCATCACGTGAAAGGGAGATTCAGTCGAATCAAATGGTGAGAAATCCTGCTGCAGTAACAAGTGGTCATCACCGTCCGACAGCTTATGAACCCAGAGAAGCAGTTTTACAGTTGGCTTGCGAATTTTTATCTACCTGTTCCGGGCGCCTTTTGGAAATGGAAGAAAAACAACGTATACCCGATCTTTTAGATGCTAAATCACACATGGTAAGCTAACGACAGTTTTCTTATTAAATATTTTATAAGTGCATGTATTAACCTCCAAATGTTACAGCCTTTAGACTAAGGTTAAAATGTTTATACATCCAAAATCAGAGATAAGGAATAACTTGTATTCAGAAAAAAGTAACAATGAATACTACGTATACAAAGCACAGGAAATACCCATCGAAGACAGTGGAACATGATCGCGCAATGGGTTGACTGAAGTTAGATATTAATACCGTTAATGCCTTCCTCAGTGGCCTAAAGTTTAAGCGTTCATGAGTTAGGCCGAAGGTCTCGGGTCGTTCAGTGCTTCTGGGTTTTCAATAGTGCTCTAATATTGATCGATTCATGAGTTCGATGGAACAAATCTTGTAAGCGAATCTTATAAATAGTTTACCTAACTAATTAACCTACCCCGTAAATTTCTAATATGACTTACTTGGTTGATCATTGATTCCATCTATTCATACATATTAACTAAATATTTTAAGCTTATTTACACAAGCATCCATTTGTTTGTTCGCCAAAGCTCAACGTTCGTCGATCAGTTGTTACATCATTATTCCGTTAACCATGTTCCTTAGCCTTACAAATAATTTAGTACAATCAAAACTAAATAAAATTTCCACGATGTCATCACAGTTTACAAATACTTCTAATAGTTTTGATAGTTTATTAGATTTCAAAAGGTTTATCAGAATATTATTAATTAGAGTATTGTTATTCATTTAAAGGTAGTGCGTGTTTATCAAAACATAATGTGGATTGTTATTTGAAACTAGTGATTTTTCAAGTTAATATTTTATGTGAACTAAAGTTTAATTTTTGGATGGATGGAGAAGGATACGAAAAAGAATCTGTCGATTGCTTCGCATCTTTATTGCCAGTAACATTATTGTATTAAGTCCAACAAGTCTTTGAATTGAAGTATATTGTTAGTAGGTCATCGAAATGACGTTTAAAAAAAAGCAAATATAGGTTGAGCAACAGTTTCAGAGACAACTTGTTACAAATAATTCAAGATTCAAATCAACATAGAGTGCACAGTTCATAACACTGAAGAATCCTTAAATTAGTATTGCTTCCTAGTTTATTACTATTACTTAGGTGTTCCACGTCTCCTACCATACAAATCGGACAGAGTTTGGACAATTAGACTCCCTTATTTGACTGAAATAAACAAGCTAGACTGTGCTTTCGTGCATATTCTACTAAATTTATTTATTTAAATATAATGTTTACCGATACATCTGACCAACTTCCTGATTATAACAACCAATGAACTACTTATCCATTTGACCGAAATTGAAAAAAAAACATGATTTCAGTTGCTCTTATTTACCAAATCAATAATTAAGTCAGTTTAGATATTAAAGGTAAGCTGATAGCTTCTGCACATTATGAAATGCTTGAATCGCCAGGTGAGTGAATGTTGTAATCCGAGGTATTCTGTTTCAACTAAACATTACATTTGTATAACAAAGCAATATTGAGAAGTTATAAAGCAGTTACGTGATACATATACATAGCCTTCAATCTTCTGTTTGCATTTTACGGTGTGTTCTAAAGTCTAAAACATTTTCTCGTCTGGTATCCAGGTGTTATGCCAATGCCGTGTTTTCGATGCACTGAAAATTTTAGCTTCGTCTGACAATTGTAGCAACTACGATTCCACATTCTGCTACATACTACTTATCAATAGTCTTATGGGTAGTGTTCTCTAGACAACCACTAGATTTCCCATTGAAAATGCCTTTGCTTAATTTAAACAAAAAAACTGAACTTCGATTGAGTGCTTATTGATGGTATCTAGGTTACAGATACTTTGTTTTTAGAATAAGATTTATTGACTAGTGCTTTTTATCAGCTTAAAATTCGTCATGAAACTGATCAAATGAGTTTTTGAAATTTATTTACACAGCGATTAGCCGATATAGCTCAATTTATGCTAAAACAAGTTTCTAACAGCCCAGATTTTCTAGTTAGTTCAGCTTTACAACGTTATTTTTTGGAAGTGCTGCCAGTTATCGATTGGAGCCATGAATCACTGAGATCATGTAAAGCATTGGAATGTCTTTTAGGTCGACTGAATAGGACGCTACCAAAGATGCTTGAATTCGCCATTAGATCCAAGGTAAGTATTATTTAACATTTTAATTGCCGCCTATTCAATTTTTATTTTGTATATTGATGTCAATTAGTTCTTAAAAATTATATATATCTGATCAGCTATGTGATTCTCAGGTACACAAGAAATACACTTATCTAAAAGGGATTACTTCGTACGTTTTCATGGAGAAATAAACACTAGAATGATTGTTATATCATGGTATCATGAATGATTGATGGTTTTACGTGATCAAATATTCACCATTTATATGAATAAGTAGTAATGTAGTTTCCATTGAACACTTTACAATATACTAATATGAAGTACAAAAGTATTTGAGTTGACAGTATAGCGATTTGCTCGCAATTTTTAAACTTTTCAGCAATCGTTTCAGTAAAATTGAAGTGAATTTATATAAACTATCAAAACTACTATTGTAGTGAACAAGAACACGGGTGGGGACAAACAGATGCGTTTAGTGCAACAATTACAGTCTATCTCAACAAAATCTGAATACCATATAATAAATCGTCAATTTGCAAAATATTCATGCGTCAAACCAAACTGGACTGTTTCTGTTGCAAACACCATTCCATTGTCTCCCATTCCATTGTTCATGCATTTTCTTACAAATTCCATTGTGTTCTCGCTCTAGCTTTCTTGATCTTCGCCATCTTCTGCTGCCAGACATTACGTTCTTTTAACGCACGTTATATACTACTTATATCAATATAGGTAGCTCACACCACACTATCATCATCCTCAGAAAGCTGGAATTTTAAACAGAACTGTTTTCACAAATAATGCCTTCTCTCTCACTGTCGAATTTCTGTTACACTATTCGTTCAAATATTGACGAATATTCAAATCGAATCAAATTATCAAAGAATTATTTTGATTCCTCTTGTTATTTCTATCTACATCTTAAATAGTGATAAGTAGAAAACAAATTTTATACACCGACTGGCATACCAAATCCATTTATCTCGAATCTAGTGTTCTGATCGACATATTATGTCATATACTGATTATTTAGTCTTTTTTTAATGAAATTTCTTTCCTCTTTTATTATTAGTAAGACATGAAATTTTACAAGCCTAATTATTCTTGTGAAAGTCATTATTAGACTTATCTAATGCCTTATGATAACCAGCTGTGTATGTAACTATTTTAAATGAATATTCATTTGTTGAAAAATATATCTGATGGTTGAATTTTGTGAATTTAAACGAGACAACTAACAACATTTTATGATTTGTTATGCTTACAAAGTTCATACTAAAAGAATGCTTAAAAAATGTTAGATTATAATGTTGATACTAATACTACTATTGAACATTTAATGAGTAGAAACACATAGCAACCACTTTCAGCTTTATCATTAACATCTGATTTTTTGACTAATCAGTAGTCTAAAGTTCTACCTAAAAGTGAATATTTTGTAACGGTATTTTATTTATAATTAAGTGACAGATAATTCCCATTTAAACATTAAAATTAAAACACGAATTTCAGCGAAGGGATCTCTTTTCAACGAATTTATAATCACGCTGTACAATCGTACAGCTCCTCACGGAATTAGTACTTTTACAAAAACAAAATTTTCATATATATACGATTGTACAGCTTGATAATAAATTCGTTGAAAAGAGATCCCTTTGCTGAAATTCGTGTTTTATTATTAAGTATTGTTTTAATATTATTTGTGTTTTATATGGATTGATATTACTTTTCACCGTGTGTTTATGTTAGATGACTGCATCGAATTAACGGGAACTTCTGAATACAAGTTACTTATTTGTTAATTTCCGCCGAAATATTTTATATGCAGTATTGAAGAAAGAGATCCTTTAACCCAGTGCTGAGTAATATGCGTCTAACTCACGACTCTAGGTGTATTTTTTTGATAGATTCCAACAAAGCGAAATCCACGTCTCGGTCTTCCTGCAGTTTCCCCACAAACTGCCAACAAATATATTTCGTTCGAAAAGAAAATTTTCTTCGCTAAATTCTCTTTTTCTTATACAAATATATTTGCTGAACAAAGCAAATATATAACCTCTAGGATGCGCTTAATCTCTGAGTTAAGAAAGCACATAAGTTTACTAATAATAAATCCTTCAGATCTGTTTTCAAAAATATTGTGCTTGGGCTTCGATTCTACCAAACAACGTTACAGCTCACACTTTTTAACAGCTCAGTAAGCGAAACAACCATCAAGGACTCACTTTTCTTGAGATAACACCGTACACATTGTTTTAGGTTTTCATAGCTTCGTCTTAACATATATCTGAATAAGTAATATCTTAAATAATAGTTTATCTTTCACTCATATTTCAAAGAAATGTATTATAAAATGTTTTTCAGTATTAAATTCACTTGGTGTTGTGTGTTTGAATCTTCCCATTGTTGTTTAGGACTGCAATTGATCAGTCTCTTGTTGGAATATGTACATCCTGTGCGGATTGCCTCGATAATGCTTTAAGTTATAAGCTTTATGAGCAAAGATGGATGGAGGCTAGCAGTGGAATCCAGGACGCTCGTCTCGTTTCTTTTGGTACTCGTCAGCTGCTTGTGCACAAGCAGGTGGCTAACAGGGCTCAGTAAGTAAGTGGATAACGCGATGGCGTCTGAAGCGAACGATGCTGGGTTCGAGTTCTTGGGTGAACATTCAGCCGACGAGTCCTGAAAAGGACAAAACGTGCATCCTCGATTCCACTGCTAGCTACCCTTTATTTTTGCTTATAAAGCTTTTCAGTATTGTATGAATTTCAAAAAGCTTTACCTTTAACATTGTACTGATTTCCAGCCAGAAATATATATATCAAAATTCAGTATACACCCTACATAAAATAAAATGCGTACGAATCATCTTTATGGTTTATATTGCTTTAGATACAAATTAATTACCCTTTTTAAATATACATACATCAGAAGGTAAAAAAATTATTTCGATCTTATTGACAAAGTCCATATCAATTAATAATTCTCCAATTAATTATCTTGGAAACATTTCTTTTTTTTTAGACGACTCATCATTGGGATGAATTTGTGAAGTTGATTCGATCAGTTTATTATATACTGAAAAGGAATCGATCTGTAGCACATATGAAAGAAATTCGCGTAAGTCATAACCTTTATTATGCACCATTCATGAGTTCTGAAAATCACTGTAAATGTCAACTCGGTTTTTAATTACATTTGTTTGATTTCTTAAAGTGATGCAGAAAAAATATGGAGTTTGACAGAAACACTATTTTTTGAGAGAAAAATTTCATTAGCACTTTGACATTTTAGTATTCTCAATCAGTGATAATGAAGCTCAATAGAAATGTGGTATTCATTTGAGATTTTTACATTGCGTGCACTGTAAAGAAGTCTGATATTGTTTACAACAAAATTTAATTCTCCAAAATATTTAGTTCGCTTCAGGAGCTTAGTGTAATAGCATCGACAATGCTAGACTCTCATATTGGAATGTTATACTTGTCAGTCTTACATGAATGGGAAGTATAAATATTTCTCGAACCCAAGATCAATGCCGTAGTTAGTATGTTCCATCTTTACAAAAATAACCACTTTTAAGGATGATTTTCACCATAGATTAATTTGTTGTGAAGAACTAATGAAAATTAACTGTTTTATACCTAGATTATCTGAGGTTATCTGTGATCAGAAAAATAAATTTTTTACACGAAACATTTATTGCATTTTAATTGTGAAATTTTTTATTGTACTCTTTGCCGCTAATTAGCCATAAACAAATAGTTTATCGATATGTTTTCCATATGTTATCTTTTGTGTCTGTTATTTAGGTTTTAGCTGAAATTTTGAAGAAAGCTGTCGTTTTTGACATATCTAGATATTTATCTAGCTTTCCTAAATCACGTCTAGATATTCAACCTAATCATGCGACTAGTCATCATGGTAGACCAAGCTTTGGAGAAGTTTTGTTCGGAATTACATCGCAAGAATCAAGCAGTATAAGTGCTTCTGTAGGAGTTCCAAAACAATCCAACAAAATGAAACACATTCCTTTAAATGGCGATGCCGGATCATATTGTTCACCTAGACACAGCAATCAAGAAAATTGGCCTGAAACTGACCTTGAAGAGAGTGATAAATATCCCTGCCAGTTCACTACTGAAGTGATTCGTCTCTTATCCCTTTTCTTGCAGATTTTAGGAGTAAGTATATATTATCTGGTCCTTAAAATTTGTGAATGATACAGTCTAACTACTCAATATCAAAAGGAAGTTTATACAAGAGATGTACTTTTTAAAAATAAAACATAAGTAAATCTGATTAAAATATACCATTGAACCTATTGATCTTCATAGATTTCATTTCATCATTTTTCACAGTTCAACCTTAATTAACTCCAGGATTTCATGCAATATACAAACAAATCGAGTAAATGATCTCGAATGCTCTGTAGGATTAGGGGATTTTCATGTAGTGTGTTCTGACAAATTTAAGTAATAAAGTTGATCTGTACAAAATAAATCAGTCTAGCGATGAAAGATTTTATCTTAAGTTGTCTGATCTTATTTACACGCTACTTAGTTCGCATCATGATTCTTCAAATCTTAGCTGTATTTCTATCACTTAAAAATGATCCATACAGAAGTTGTAAACAATCAAATATTACTTTAGATTATTCATGTATTTCGCGATCTAAGCTATTTGAATCTATGGTACTCATACACTAAATGTTAGTTACTTTGTGTGATTTTAAATATATATATATATATATATATATATATATATATATATATATATATATATATATATATATATATATATATATATATATATATATATATATATATTCTTTACTGATGCTTTTTATTTTAGCCCCACTGCAGTTTAAAAGATTTATGTGAACGAATTTCGCCAGAGTACAACATTCGCTTTCCAACATTACGTGAAGGTGGATTTCAGACGCTTGTAATTTACCTAAACAATCTAATACTACCAATGTTATTTCGAGGTTGTGCTGGACGCAAAGGTATATTTCATTTCTTTTCTTGCTTATCATGACTATAACTGAATAAAATTCAGAGATATTGTTATATTGTTAATTAATCGAGATATTAACAATCCTATCAGAGATTTTATATTCAGGAATGAACTTATGTAAACAATCGTGCACAAACTGATCTCTATTTAGAATCTATTGATTATTTTAAATTTCTGAGAAATTATATGTACTTTAATACCTCAAGCGTAACTATTGCAGTGAACCTCCAGTTATTTATAGACTCTGTTTAGCCTGCAAGTGAGTTTTCATCACAAGATTGTTTATAAACAGAGTTTCAAACAAATTAATGATACCACTCTTTTCAAATACTAAAGTAATCTATATTACAAAAAAGCTGATTACACTGCTGATGGATTAGTCAGTAAATGTATAAAACGAATTTAGATAATAAGAGAAATAAACTTAGGTTAATAGTGCACAAACGTGAATACAGGATCATCTAAAAGTTTAAATTGATCAAATGGATTTCTGAGTACTTTATCAATAGGAGTCTACAGTAGATTTAATGATCCAAGTGATTATCGACAGTCTTATAAACGGACGTATTTACTTTTTTGAATATCACGTGTTAGAAAAAATTTGTGGTGAAAATAACTGGAGTTATTTACTTGAGTACTTCATGTTTAAGTGATCCACCTGTTCATGACATCCTCAAAATAGAAACTTAGTTTAAGTACTTAAATGTGGTCCATAACAAGTTCACGATGTTTCAAAAGTATTTTTTAACTTAGAGGTTTCTATTGGCTAACTGGTTTAGCTTTATAAAATGATTTAATATTAATTAACTTAACAATGAAAAGCTAAAAGCGCATAAGTTTGGTGACATTTTGTCGATTGCGTTCTGAAAAACCAGAACTTTTTATTTCCATAAATAGAATCTCAGTGATCGCCTTTCATTATTTAAATAGACTCTTTATACGGATGTTTGTGTTTGCACAAGAAACACACAGATCGATACACTTAAAATATTAACTTCGAATACATCAGCAGTGATACATAGTAGGCTCGTTTTGCTCTACTAAGATTCGTCAACTGGAAATACCTTACCTCTAGTATATGGTGCTTCAATTGAGATTCAACCCAGGACTAACAGGAAATCATAGCTCAATGGCCTTCTCCATTACCTTAACAATCGAACTTATGGACTCTAGCGTCAAGTTTTCGTGTCAACACCAACATGAAATCAATTACATTCGTCTGACGAGTGCCAGTCAGACATTGCTTAATTGACATTTTAGTCGTATCATACACTGTCATTTTCGTACTGGGTTCTCAATCGATAGAATTTAGAAGTTACTTGAATAGCTATTCGAATTGGTATAAGCTTTTAAAGAATCTAGGTAACAAATATTTACATAGTGGCCCATTTTATTTCTTAGTATGTATCGGCTTTCAGAAATTAAGTTCTTACGCAGATTCGTAAACTTTTGTTGGTGTGAAACGACTCAAATTGATAACTAGCTTTTCTTAACTGATTATTATTACTTCCTTAGACTCACCAACTCTTTCAAGAGACAATGTTTTCTATGCACTGGATGTATGTATAACGGCCTTGTTTGCAACAGATTATGCATCGAATACTGATGGACAAAGATCTATATACAATTTGACCACCATAAGTAACTCAACTCAACAACAGCAACAAACATGTGAATCGAGTCAATCAGGACCCCTGTCTGGTAAATTAAAGGATAAATGTAATAAAAGTCAAACTACAGGATTTGAACTACGCACAAATGCAAGTATATCACTCAATAGACAACCAACTGGATCCATTGCACAAGACAATATTTCCACTATTACCACTTCAAATAATAACTCTGCTTCAATAAAGCTAGTTAATTTATCAAATTTATCAACAGACTGCGAAGGTGGTTCATATGCCAGTTTAATACGTTTACTTAGTCCATCGTTGGTTAAAATTCTGCCAGATGAAAGCGGACCTTTGACTAATTCAGTACAAATTACCATTTCAAATAAGTGTCAAGGAAAACAAGATAGTTTTCAGTTAAAATCACGTCCTTCTGTAATACCGAATTTAAACAAAACAAGTATATTAACTCAAAAAAGTCGTCCACAAGTATATTATTCTAAACTTTTAGATCCAACTTCAATTAATCTTGGGTTTCCCATAGATAAAATTAAAAGCTTTAAGGCTGAATTTGCGCACCGGTAAGAAGAAAATGTATTCAATGTCTCACATGCTTTTGAATGACTTAAAATACTGTTTAATATTTCCTTGCAGTCATTCCGTTTAAGCAAAAAGCTCAAGATGGTGAGATTGATTGGTTCATAATGACGTTTATTTTGCAAGTTCAAATGGTTTAATCAATCACTAAGAGGTCACTAAGACTTTCAATTTATTCAGAGGCTCCATAGTAATCCATATCTACCACATTTTCGTAATTTATTCTGTTAAAATTTGGCTTATATCTACGGGTGATAAAACTATTATAAAATTCATATAAATGTTATTGACATGCTGTCAGATGTCATTATCTTTTCTATAAATTCTTGCAGGCTTCTGCAGATAACTTTTTCTTCTCCCTTTCCTTTTCTGTGAAAGATTATCTAATGATCTCTTTTTTTTCACATTGATGATAAATATCTTCAATTTCTAAACTGTATTATTCTATAGGAACGTAACCCTAGTGTCTTGTTTAGTACGTACCAAACGCTAATCATTGGCGTCAGTCAAATAATGATTGGATGTATCCTAGATTTCGAACATTATTAATGTCACTCACCTAAAGTACAACAACAGTTATCTAACACTCCTACTATGGGTACCTTGGTATGCACAAATTACTACCCCTATCTGTTACTGAACCCTTACTTATGACATTTATATCAGCTATGAAATGCTGAAACCAACCTGTGAATGTACTAAAAAGAAAATCTAAGTTTGAAAATAGCAATCGGACAACTAACATTGATCAGAAATGAGGCAATAAAAGTATTTGTGGTTTTTAGCCTGAATATGATCAACTAAAGCTTCAGAAATATTTAACTACAGTTATATAATCTTTTCTGAAAACGCTCACTGTCATAAAATAAGAGTTTATTCGATAATATGAATATGTTATTATTTAAAGGACTATTATTTTGAATAGATCAACAATACCACATATTTCGGACGAAAAGAAATAATGAAATAGGACTATAAATTCATCTTGTAATATTCGTAGATACGTTGTTAATATATACTGATGATATGAATGATTTATTATCCTCATTATAAAGTTTGATTCAAAACTGCTGATTTGTTTTCTGTAGGGATCTGTACCGTATTATAATCATAGTGGTCTCGGGTAGTTGATTTAAAGAATCTTTTGTTTGTTATGATAAATTGTTTTGCAGTTTTGTCCTGATGCATGCTATTTATTGCATAACTATCATTAATCCTCTGATTTATTAGGCTTGGATTTTTGGGACTGAAATTAATTCTTGTGGCGTATACGCGTCATGCGGCTGTTCGAATGAAACTGCTAGTAGCTGCATTAACACAATTAGCTTTGAATGGTCAAAATGGTATCCAGCTGTGGAAATTTTTCGATTTCTTAGTTACTTATAGACCACCACTATTTGTACACTTACTGCCATTTATTCGATTCAAAGTAAGTGTATCTTATTCACTGCTTATTATTTTATGAATGGGTTTATTTATCTATCCTTTAGTTTGTAGTCAGTATTGATAAAATAAAAATAGTCTAGTCTCATCATATAGGAAACAACAAAGGTTCATCTTTTTTGATGTAACTTACTTTAAAGATAGTTATATGACTGATAAACTAACCGACTACAGCGTTGTTTATATTCTTAAAGATTAATGCCTAAAGCGCTTCGACGAATGAAGAAATCTTGGTACACACCTATACGTTCATGTCAGCATATACTTCATAAACTTTTAATTTACTGCATTTAATTAAATTACACGTAAGGAATCGATTTATTGGTTTATTCATTTTCAATGTCATAGGTTTAGAATTATTTCTAATTGACTAGTCTTTCACTTTCATAGTAACGTCAACTGCATTTATCAAAGTATTATACATGTTAATAAAAGTTTATGAGCACAAATTAAGTGTAAATAATATAGATAAAGCTTTTGTTTTACCGAAACTCCTTACAACTAACAATCAAAGTAAAGAAAGCTTGTTTTTCGAGCAAGTGTGATTTATTTATTAAGCTAACAGCTAAAATGCCTTTTGTCGATTTTAATTTTCTTCACTTTTTCTAATTTTCATCAGAGACATCGAATTTTTAAAATTTTCTAGATGGCTCTACTTCAGTGTGCAAGTCAAGGAGAACAAGCGTATCAACAAATTGTTAATCAAAAATTAATTGGATTACATTTACCTATCCCACAAACAGTCGCTTCAATTTTAAGAAGTTTGTCGAATGAACTGCAAATTATCAACTTTGATATAAAAGTACGCCATTAATCCTTGCTTATATGTATATTAAAATTTTAATAATTTCAAAAGACAGATATGGGAACCAAGAATATTCCGTTGAGTGAATAAGACTATTGGTGAAATAAAAGAAATTGTAATTATTGAAATGAGTTCCTATCGGATTAATTGTTTCATATATAATTTATGACATTTTCTATTGATCTTCAAGCTCCTTTAAACATCTCTATCGCATTACTGAGGTCTTTCTGGTAATTTAGTTTCTTATATGTTGATTTATCATTCAAGACTCTATTAGTTTTGTCGATACAGCTTTTTTATTGAGTAGAACAGTTTCTGTCCCCCTTACCAGGCTTCGTACCAATCGAATTTTTGTCCTTAATATTTTCGCGGTTGGCTTCCTTTTTTTCATTAAATGACTATGTAGTTATATTTATTGTTATTATACTGATAGCAACAATCAACTAGGTTTGATTAAAATCGTTTGCGTTTCTGAACGAAGGTTGGAACGAAATACAATATCTGGCTATAGAGGTTTTCAAAAGAAATGTCTGTGATCAGATACGTCACAGAACTTTGAATGCTATGCCATCACTTCAAAGTTTTCTTCAATTACTCAACGGTTATAAAATTATGAATATTCCTCTCAGATTCCTTCGAAAATCTGTTTCTACTGGTTGATATTTTATGATTTTAAGAAATCTGATAAGTTTTCGATGTGAATGTTGTTTAGTCACTTCTGTTACGTAATCCATAGACGGGAGCTTAAAAGCTCCCGTCTGTTGGTGCATCAATGGGAGATTGTCAGTGATCAATAATCATTTCTATTCGTTTATATAAGAACCAAATTCATCAATATGGTTTAGAACATAACTTTTTAGTGTTTTCCTGTAAGCATACACATGGTTACGACGTAGTGGTTTATTGAGTGGTTTAGGATAATGACTTGTATCACGACAGTTCTTTGTATTTTTTCTGATAATTTCAATTGACCTAGAAGCTTGTTCGAGTTAACATTACACGCTAGTCATTCCAATAATTACAATTTCTTTTATTTCACCAATAATCTTAATTTCATGTAGTGTGATTTTAAATGATGTTTCGCTTTAAACGTGACTATCCCTTTGGAATGTTAATATGGATTTGTAATTGTAAGACCAGATGAGGACTCACTGAACGGAATATACTTCGTTCATATATCTGTGTGTCTATTGATATGATGGAAATTTTTAACGAAATTTAAGAAGCAAAACAAATTTCTCTGCAATTATTTAGTACAGTATAAATATGGAAGTACAATTGAAGGAAAAACTTTGTAATAATCCTATAAATATCAGTAATAACCTGCTACTTCCAAAGAGCATGAGATAAATTTTACCAAACTTTTGTTCAATTTGTTTCCTAGACGTTCAGTAAACGAATTTACAATGAAATAACTTCGCCTAGAACGTCAGGTTTACATGATTCATTGCGTCGTTTACGTTCATCAGATAATACAAGTTCCGTTTCCGCTCGTAGTAACAAGCATACTAAATTAACTAAAGTTGCATCGAAAAATACAAATGAATATACACATAAGTCTTCTCACAAAGTATCGTCAAAAGATCAAGTAAATCAGAAACTACAATCACATGTTCTGGCTTCAGTTACATCGAATTCTACATGTAGTGTAGATTACCGTGATGAAAATATCATTGGAATATCAAGTAAGCATGCAAAAGTTGACATTTTTCTTCACTTCTTAAAGAGCCTTATGTTATCAAATATAATATAGTTCTTTCTAATGATTATTATGGAAGCGTCTTTTAGTTTTATTATAAACAGAACAACGACCTGAAATGGAAATTTTACTAGGAAAAAAACTAATCATGCTAATTTTTTGTTATATTTCAAGTTTATATCGCTTCGAAAAGAGTTTTCACATCAAACAAATTGTAACTTCAAAATGTGCATTACAATTATGCTTTAATAATCATCTGCTTTTTATTTTAGAATTATGTTCTAGTGATCCAAACATACGTTATAAACCTTGAGCTTTATAGAAGTCCATCAACTGATATCCTGTTATGACAATATTTAAATTCATTATATACCTCAAAAAATAACTTTTGTTACCTATTTACGATGCAGTTGCAGCTTTTTAGGTTACGGTCGGCAGTGAAAGTAATCAAAACAATGATTAGTAATAAATACACCGTACATTTGTACAGTTTATCATAGCAGTACTTCAGACTTTATTTAGTTACGCCAGTAAATATATCTGAATTTGGTGTTGAGCGATTTGGGTTTAAATTTCGTTAGTGGCATCACTAACCCAATATCTTTTGGTAACATATTTCTGTGAGTAATAACAAATAAAAACAATTATTCAGAGTTTCTGTTTTAGAATATCGAATGTATTTTCACTAGTTAGCACAATGTATTATATAGTTTCACTTCTCAGATAAATCCATCCTTCTTCAGAAGAGACAAAATAATCATAAGTTTTTGTAAAACTACAAAGTTTAGCTGAATCAAACAAGGAAGAATAATCCAGTTTACTTCTGATTGACAAAGTTGTTCATTGCACACTCTCCTCACATTGAAAACTTTTTAATACGGATTACTATTATCCAAATATTAAATGGTTGTTCTTATTCAGAAGCTCGACATCAATGATATTTACCTCAGATGGAGGTGCTTGAGGGTGAATAGTGAGAGTATATTTCATTATCCATAAGGTTCAGTATATAGTTTGTGTATTTTGCTTCTTCCATGTTCCAAATCCAATATCTCGAATTGTCACGTACTAGCATCTCAACCATCTGACTAAAAGGTTATACTCCACAATAATAATAATAATAATAATAATAATAATAATAATAATAATATATATATATATATATATATATATATATATATATATATATATATATATATATATATATATATATATATATATTTATATCATATTTGGATCTTGGTAAAGATTGACAGTGTCCACTACTAAGGCACCACGAGTGAGAATAAAAATATATTTAACATTTCTCGGATTTAATTAACTGTATGGTCTGGTAAAGTACTCTAGACCATTAGTGTAGAGATTGTGATTCAAAAACATTGACTGAAGTTAACCCAAGAGTAACTTGGGTGTATGAAAAATGAAAGTGAGCTGCACTTTATAGCTTCGTTATCTTTAGCTCGATGAATAATGGTGAACGGAAGGCATAAAAAGCCGAATAGCAATCTTCCTGAAAGTATATTTAGGTAATTGAATTGATTGACATGTATAATAAAACCAAACAGAATTAAATCGTAATGAGAAATAACAATAGAATTGAAAGCAGAAATAAAAACATCCTGGTAACAGCATTGTATTTATTTCGACACCGGCACTAGAATCACCAGCAATTGCGTTAGAATAAAAATAACATTAGGAATTGTATTATGCTGAAATAAATACAGGACCACATTAGCGAATCTAGCCCGCATCTTACTGAAATGCGTTCAAACGATCCAGGATGCCAACGAGTCTCAGACATTTATAGAGCAATAGAAAAACGGAGTGTGACTGACGGATAAATTGATCGATAAGCAAACAAACGGTGGCATATTATAAGGACACACATGTAAAGCATTCCAGTTAGTCACAACGTTTATTAACAGGGTTAATTAACAGGGTCACATGTTCGATCAGATTTTGTATTTCAAAATGAGTGCAAAGTTGTGATTTAAACGTGTCTGCGTCGAGCATTACATATATTATACGTTGTTAGTTTGACTCATTAAATTAACTGATATGAAAAAGTCATAGACCAAGTCTACCATACTGTTATTATTTCCTTAAACTCTGATGTTCACTATATCACTTTGTTCCGAACACTTAAAACAGGTTCCAACTTTTGCTTCTAACTACAAACTTATAAAAAAAATAGGTGAGAAAAGGACATGTTTTGTCCATGAAATACCTATTTCAATATTTTTAGCTTATTTTCTTGTTTTTATACAACTGCCGATAATAAATATGATCAGGTAGATTTTGCTTGCAAATAAATTTCAAGAATCTTATTCATAATCCCCAACCGCCATCAGAATTAAGGTTGAACTGGGTAGATATAATGAAGAACCTAATTATTGCAGTCTATATTGCATTTTTGAAAACTTGTAAACAAAGTAAGTACCATTTTAGATTTGGACAGGCATTTACTTGGAAGAAAAAGCCTCAATCAGGAGTTTAGACAAACTACTGGAGTACGAGATCCTCGGAAACGTATCCATGCTCATGAAGGCAGTTGTCTCCTAGTGAGAACTAGAGATTATGGTCAAGCGGATCCAATTTTAACTGGTAAGTGTGGTATTTAAAATCCAAGAGTTTCACCTATTTTTATTTGAAATTTCTAGGTGTCAGTATTCTTCTTTGATAGTAGTTGCAATCACAATATCAAACAGTGCCATTAACTGTAATAATCATCTAATTCTTTTTCAAGTTATAAGGTACATGCAGCAAGGATAACATAATTACCCAATCTCCCAATTTCAGGGAAAATTTGACCAATTTTGGGGAAATTTCGGCGAAGAACGCAAAATTTCCCGACTTTGGGGTTTTTAACCAAAGCTAATTAGCTCACTAATTATGTCTTGGATTCAATTATAAAACGTATCAAGGACAAATAACCCTGTAGGATCTACAAGTAGTTTGATGCAACTTTCTTGTTAAAATCATAAAATGACTGACTACAGTAAATGAATTTAAGGTGCCACATTATTAACGGTTAGAAACGTTACTCTTGATTGTTGATAAATCTTCGATACAGAAGGGACATAATTTAACTTGTGATACAGGAACACCCAATATATAAGACACAACCAATATTAGGCAATAATGAGACATATGGGTAATGTTATCGATAATCATATTATTCACTTCAATGATTTTATGGTTTTCTAGTCCTACATCTGACTCCATTTGGATCGTATGAATGGTCGTTATCGAATGATTGTTGTTGAAATATACATGCATGCTATCCTCATATACAACCATCGACTCGAATCGTGTTGGTGAATAACGGAATCAAATACGAGGATGGATCTTTGAATACGTATATTTCATACAATCGTTGATCGGAAAGCGAAGCAAAACAAATAATGTGCAGTGAAGGCGAGTGAGCCAAGTCAATTTAACCAAGCGTGAATCGATATTCATATTCAGATCAAAAACAAGTTACAGATATGTGATGAGCATGATTAGAAGTGTGCACACATACGCTCATAAAAAGACAGTCGAGTTGATAAGCGGTTAAGTGACAAGGCGAAAATGTGATTTAAGAATGAATAAGTTGATCTGTCCAGAGGCTGCAATAACCTATATGGGTTTGATATGGTAACCGACATTACAATGGACTAAATTGATCTTATTAGTTCATACTATATATGGAACAGCTGAAAACCAGATAAAACACCAGTACCTAAGACTGACTTCTACCTCACCCCACTACCCATCCATAAACCTAAAACTTGAAGTCTTCTGATACATTCGTTCAAAAATATGCAGTTCGGTTCAGAAAATCGTTCATTTAAGGCACATTTAAGATAGCCATTATTTAGTTGGAATATGATTGGGGTGTGTCATTTATCTTGATCGGCATTAAGACTGGTGACAATCCCTCGAAATTTTCATAATAAAGTTTTTAGACAGGTAGTTTTTTCACTCTTCGTCCCCATGGTGATTACGCTATACTGATTGGTCCATCTACAGACAATATTATCAGGATCCATTATGTCTGCATATAGTTAACTAGTTTATAAAGTATTATTTTAAAGTCAGACCAGTTTTATTGACTTTTTTTCTAACAGCTTCTGCAGAAAGTCTAGTAAGAAAAAGCCAAAAAACAGGACATAAAAGGATTAGAACTCAGTGAGTGCTGTTTATGACAATATTTGAATACTTTAGAAAAACATTTTTTGCTATTTGGTCTATCATAACTGAATTACATATGTTAATTAACCATGTCGGTTGGATGTTTAGATAAGTTAGATTGAGGCTTGGTCACATTTCAGACACAGTTTGATCAGCCATAATGGATTGGTGTCTGACGAAATCTCAGCACGGATTCGAAAAGCTCGTTTGGCTCCTACCAATTTACGTCACCTATGTCGAAGGCGAGATATCCGTCTATCAATTAAGGGACGAGTATACTGTGCAGCAGTTCGTTCTGTTCTATTTTACAGCTGTGAAACGTGGCCATTAAGAGCAGAAGATACTAGTAAGCTACTAGTATTTAACCACAGTTGTCTTAGAAATATCGCTCGCATCTGCTGGGATCACCAGGCAAGTAATGGTGAGATTAGACGCAGGGTATTAGGGAATGATGGTGAATCAGTTAATGAGGTTGTAAATCTGCATCGACTGAGATGGTTGGGCCACATGTTACTTATGCCTGAACACCGTTTACCACGATGCACAATGCTGAACAGTGTTGGAGACGGCTGGAAGAATGCTCGGGGCGACCAAACCAAAACATGTCATCAGTCATTGAAGTCACTAACTTCTAGTCTGAGTCATGTTGGTAGATGCCCACTATTTGGTTGGGGGTCTGCGTGACTATCGTAACCAGTGGTTGGAGACTGGGTGACATGGTTCACACTCTGTCTTTCCTTAAACCGTGAGATTAAAATTACTTTATACATTTTTTCTAATTCTTTCTTGCTCTACTATATCTTCATATACAATATTTCTTTTATATATTACTACCATTGAAGTAACTACTTCTATGAACTTGGTGTTCACCTTGTTGTGCTAATGAGGTATGGCAACTTGGACTGATGCATATATGTGCCTGGTCCTACGTTGTAGATGACTGACTGGTTGATTAAATATTACATATCTACTAGATTTACTAACTGTGTAGAATTTATGACACTTAAACAATAGTAAATCCCATTTTTCAGTTCAAGTTTCATCTCAAGTGCTTCATCTTTTTTCTTACATTAATATATTTGAGACCTTCGTTCTTCTATCAACTCCTAGGGAGACAAAGTTGACTGGAAATGCTCAAGTGTATAAAAATCTTCGTACGGATGCTTTGCAAGCCAGACTATCTAATGATTCAAATGCAGATAATCAAAGTGAAAATTCACTAGTTAGTGAAGGGTTAATAACACCAGTTGGACCAGCAGCAGCTGCCGCAATCGCCTCATCGCTTTATGGATCTGGTGAGATAATTTTTATGAACTCATTCAATGTAATAAGTTTTAGATGTACAAACTTATTCAAGTCAAGAAAGAAATGGATAGTATTTGATCAGTACCTTGTGAAATTAAAAAAAATACTTATGTACTTCGACAGAACGAGTAAAGTGGTAAATAATTCTATAAGCATTCAGAAACATATTTGACGCATGAACAGCCGATTAACGGTGGTCCCATTACCATCTGTCAGTCGAATATATGATTTTAGATATCTTACAGAATTTTCTCAATAGTACTTGGTATGCGCTAGCCGTTGTCCTGACAAAATTTGCTGAAATGCTCTTTCGATTATTATATGAAAATAACAATCCGATTACTTGTATCTTATTAATACTGTACAACACAAGTGTTGATATGGCTAACATTAGCTAATCTAGTAAGTGTTCTAACGAAAGTGCTCTCTCTCGTTTAGATGATTTTAGAAAGCTTTCGGGTTCCAACATAGATATAGTTCTAAGCAATATATGAGTAGTAATCAGAGTTTTACATAAAATTTTGAGTTTATTACTGCTTGTATATACTGATTATACAAATCATGTACATGATCCTAATAATAATGTACATAATCCTCAAACCGTTTAATCAGCAGCAAGCAAAAATTAACCCATAATTGAGGATCGTAGTTAGTATAATGATTTCATCCTATTATTATGTTTCATCATGCTAAAAACCAGATTATATATGGTACTTTATAATTTTTCTAATTATCTCTTTCATCACTACTTAGGTGCTCCATATCTACATGCACGAGTACGAGCCCGGCAAGAATTAGCCTCCCTAGTCAAAATACCAGCACCCAAGCTGAATTCACGTGAACAGCTAACCGAAATTGATTTCGCATTCGTACCAGAAGTAAGCGGTGACGACGATAAAAAATCACCGATTCAACAGAAATCCAAGTACCAATCGAATCAGACTAAAGTAGAGCATAAAGTTACAGGAAATTTTATGTTGAAACTCGAAGACTTAGAAGAAAAACCTCCAGATGAAAAGGATCAACTGAGGGATATTACAAAATCACTAATAACAACATCGATTGTAGTTGGTACAACCAACATTCCAACTACCAAAACGACATTAGCAGAAGCTCCAGGGGTGGTGCAAATGACTGGGGATAAAATTAGTCCAATGATTTCGGGAAAATCTAAAATTAATTACGTCTGATTTACATTTATCTTTTTTTGGAATAAGACTCACTAAAAATTCATAAATTTAAGCAAGACTCACGAATGTCACCTCGTTTTTTAATATGAGTAAACTATCAAGAAGTGAACATCTAGTATTTTCTTTAACCTTATTAGATTTCTAAACGCTACTTCCGTTTCCTTTCTTTTTTGGATTTCCCCAGTTGACATATTCGCTTCCTTCTTGTCTGTGATTAGAATTGAGAAAAATACACAGAATCCTAATGACGATTCTTAATTTCGTTCACATCCACTTAGTGGTTTCCGAGCTTAATTTTTTAGAAGATTTAACGTGCATACTAGTTCAGACATGAAAAGAAACATCATAAAACCACTCACCTACTTTTCATATATTCCTACTACCTAATAACCAACCTACTTTAAAATTATCAACTGTGACTAATCATTCGTTCGAGATCTTTTGTACACAAAGTGACAACCCTTCTTTGACCATTATTTCATCGAATGTAATCAGTACATAATTGAATAGATTCGAATATGAATTAATCGCCTTAGGAATAATTTCGTGAGCTCGTTACCACCAATGAAGTACTTACCTATGTACCTGTATTAAGTGTAAATGAATAAGCTACTATCAAATAGTAATTCGCGGGAACTAGGCTGGTTTTAGGTATCAACGTGAACGTGTAGACCAAATGTTCTCCCTTCAACAAGCCTTGGAACACGGATATACCTACATACTACCAACCTTAGTTGTACTTCTTGACCTTACGGTAGCATCTGATCCCGTAGATAGGCAGATTTTAAGGCATTGTCTGTCACTGAAAGATGTACTAAAGAGTTACATCAACATTGCACAGGCTCGCTACTGGGGTCAAAGCTTATACCGAACTGCCAGAGAGATTGATAATTCAAAATGTTCATCAGGAGTGCTCCACCTAACTTTCTCAGACATTTTAGTCAGTCAGTCAGCTACAACGTAGGACCAGGCACATATGTGCATCGGTCCAGGTTTCCATACCGCATCAGCACAACAAGATGAACACCGGATTCATAACAGTGGTTAGGTAAAAGGTGGTAATATATAAGAGAAAGATTGCATATAGAGATATAGCACAAGAAGAAAGAGTTGGTTAGTAGAAAGAAAGATATGAAGCGCTTTTAATCTCTTAGTTTAAGGGAAGACAGGGAGTGTATACACCGACGCCATTGTGATCGATTCTGAGCCATGTCACCAAGAGTCTCCAACCATTGGTTATGATAGTCACGCGGATCCCAACCAAGTAGTCTGCATCTACCAACATGGCTCAGACTAGAAGTTAATGACTTCAAACACTGATGCCACGTTTTGGTTTGGCCGCCCCTAACTTTCTTCCAACCATCCCCAACACCGGATAGCATTGCACGTCGTGGTAATCGGTGTTCAGACATACGTAACACGTGGCCCAACCATCTCAGTCGATGAAGATTCATAACCTCATCAACTGATTTACCATCTTTTCCTAATACCCTGCGTCTAACCTCACTATTACTTACCCGATTATCCCAGCAGACGCCAGCAATATTTCTAAGGCATCTGTGGTCAAATACTAGCAGCTTACGAGTGTCTTCTACTCTTAATGGCCATGTTTTGCTGCCGTAAAGTAAGACTGAACGGACTGCCGCGCAGTATACTCGTCCTTTTATTGATAGACGGATATCTCGCCTTCGCCACAGGTGACGTAAGTTGGCAAAAGCCATACGAGCTTTTCGAATCCGTGCTGAGATTTCGTCCGATACCAACCCATTAGGGCTGATCAGACTTCCAAGATAAGTGAAGTTGTCGACGCGTTCGACTACTTCACTCTCTATCCTTAGTTCAGGTGTTAACGCAGACCAGTCCTGAAGCAACAACTTGCATTTAGAGGGAGAGAAGCGCATTCCAAACATTCTGACATTGTTGCTCAGTGCTACCAGAAGACTCTGCATTTTGTCAGCGTCTTCACCAAACAGGACTGTCATCTGCGTATTATAAGTCGATAAGTGGACCTCCTGGATGGAGATCAATACCCGAGAACTCAGTCGACGAGAAAGTTATTTCCATCAGTAGATCTATGATGAAGTTAAACAAAAATGGAGAAAGTGGACATCCTTGACGGACACCACTTGAGGTTGCAAAAGTAGATGACAGTTCGCCATAAGCTCTCACTCGACTAGTAGTGTTTGAGTAAAGAGCCTTTACAAGTATTATGTACTTCTGGGGTATGCCTTTCAATGACAGACACTGCCACAGAATCTCGCGGTCTACCGAGTCAAATGCTGTTTTAAAGTCAAGAATGACCACCATTGTCGGACGCCGATAAGTATGCCTGTGTTCTAGAACCTGACGAATGGTGAATATGTGGTCGATGCAGCCACGACCAGGTCTGAAGCCAGCTTGATTTTCTCGTGTTTGCAGTTCACGAGTTTTAGTTAGGCGTCTGATTATTGTTGAGGCTAGTATTTTAGATACTATATTTGTTAAACTAATCCCTCTGTGGTTGTCACAAGATGATTTTGATCCTTTCTTGTATATTGGAACGATCAGTGATTGCGACCAGTCAGATGGAATAACGTCTAATTCTTAGATGTTAGCTAAAATATTAGTCAACCTAACCGCTAAAATTGGACCACCATCCTTAAAGACTTCTGGAGCCAGTCCATCTGGACCAGCAGCCCTTCCTCGTTTCAGATTATCTATAGCCTTTTGAACTTCTGCTAGAGTTGGGGGACCTACTTCAATGTTCCATTCACGCTGTCTGGGAATGGAGGGTAGTTGTAGAGTAGCTGAAGGCCAGCTGAACTGTTCCCTAAAGTGTTCCGTCCATCGTTCTAAACGCGTGGACTGGGAGCAGATGAGTGTAACGTCTTTTTCCGATATAATCTCACTTACACTTGACTTATTAATTCCAGTTTCTTTTATTAGTCTGTAGAGCTGTCTTGTGTTCCCTATAGTCACCACCTTTTCCATCTCTTTTGCTTTCGTTGCCCACCACTGCTCACGGTCGTTTCTTAGACTTTTTCTTAACCTAGATCTGATTTGTTGTCGCTCTTCATCATGTTCGGAACCTGATGGGACGAGTTTGCGAGAATCCATCAGTGTGATAGACTTTGAAGAAATCCACTGGTCCTTTGAAACTCTGTGGTTTAAGTTGCTAATAGATGTCACTGCTGCTTCCACAGCTGCTTGTATGTCTTTCCAAGCAACATCTGTGTCAGCCTCGTCTTCAGAACTACCTAAGTGTGAACTCAGTTGTTCTTGGAACCTATTTTTGGTTTTCTCGTTACTCAACTCAGTTCTAATGGGTCTTTTTAATGTGGCTTTTTTGCGTCCGGTGAGGCGCAAGCAGATGCGTGCCCGCATTAGGGCGTGATCGGAGTCCAAGCGGGTACTCCAGAATGAGCGACAATCTTCTACCGACCCTCTCCAACGATGACTGATGGCAATATGGTTTATTTGAGTCCATCGTTGGTTTGGTGTAGGGGGTCGCCATGTTAGACGATGTCTCTCCTTATGCTTAAAATTTGTGTTTGCTAAAAATAAGCGATTGTCTGAGCACAGTTGCAGCAGACGGTCACCATTATCTGTTCGCTGTGCCGGAATGCTAAAATATCCACCTAAATGCCTTTCTGTGTGGTTTAAGCTACCTATCTGAGCATTAAAGTCACCCCCTACGAGTACTATGTCTGAACGTTTAGCTTTCTGAATAAGTTCAGATAGCTTTCTGTAAAATTCACCTTTCATTTCATCTGAGCTGCAGTCGGTGGGGGCGTAGGCAGAAACGACAAAAAGGCAACGACGTGTGTCCCTATCCTTCCGAGTTCTTACGGAGCCGTTTAGCCGAACAGCACATAGACGACTGTTGACGGGGATCCATTCTAGCAGTGCTTGTTCCGCCCTCATGCTTAGTGCTATGCCTACACCTGCCAGTCCACGAGAACTGGCCATAGGGTCACCAGATACACGTAGGGTGTATCTCGTTTGCTCTCCGTTTTGCCGAGGTGAGGTCAAGTGAATGACCACACTGGAATCCTGTGGTCATTCACTTGAACTGAGCCATGTGGGTATGTACAGACTACCTGATCATTGCAACTAACGGTTGAATACTGGGTGACGTGGATGAGGATAGTTTGCAATGGCATAGGAGCATTCGCCCTGCCTCATTTTAGAGACTACACTCATTCCCCTATTTATCAAGAACCGGTCTTCTATCATGTGATTTACTTGTTGACTCCAAATAAGCAGATGAAGATGGTATTAAGACAATGTTCTAACCGCCTTAAACAACAATACTAGCATATATGGGATGATGTTCTCTTTCTGAATGCAAGAGCTTGCTTCGGGACCGGTCTAGATCAGCGCCTAAATTATTGATGACAAAAATAGATGAGTAAGTTCACTTATTTTGTAAACCTCGTCAGCCCTGGTGGGTTGGTTTGACGAAGTCTCGACACTGATTTAGAAGGCTCAGTTGGCGTTCATCAGTTTGCATCACTTGTCGGATAAGCGATATATCTGTCTATCAACTGAAGGACGAGTGAACTGAGCAGCAGTTCGCTTAATCCTAGAAGTTAGAAGCAAGGCGCTAAGTAAGGATGGCAAAACATGTATCACATATGCTCATTCACGTTCGATGATGGCTGACGACGGATTTGGTTGAGAAAGAGCACAGGGAACTCAAATCAAGCCAGTCAGTAACAACGTAGAACTTCGTACGTACGTACATGGTGTCAGACGATGAAGACGCTAATTGAACTGAGCCATGTGGGTATGTACAGACTACCTGATCATTGCAACTAACGGTTGAATACTGGGTGACGTGGATGAGGATAGTTTGCAATGGCATAGGAGCATTCGCCCTGCCTCATCTTAAGTTCTTGCCACCCCACTAATTTATGTTTTCCCCTAAAACTGCATCCCCGATAACTAGTTTTTTCCATCACAATTAGTACTCTTATTATTTCCACAACTCTGGGATTCGCTGTAACAATGTGACGTCTTGGACTGATGTACGCGTGCTAGATCCTACGTTACGCATGACTGACTGACTGAGACAGTATATACTGAGGATCAGTGTGGTCCATATCAAAATTGACACAGACTGAGTAGTCATGCCATTTTCGTTTACAAAGTCTGAAGTGGTGATTGGAATTATCAGTAAATGAGTGTTAATAATCCCAGGTACCACACCTGAGGACCGAGACCCTTGTTCTCATCAATGGCTTTTCCAATTAGTTATTCACGATCAATATAGTGACAATGAAAATCTGTGGTAACATGGATGATCTCAAGCTAAGTGT